GTTTAGTTTAGTTTAAATGGTTAAATACTGCAAACATAAACTTTCAGGTGAGGGGAAAACATTTTGTTCTTTCTTTACCATCTCTGAAACAGCAGCTGCTTTGATACTTACACTTCTGAAGAAATCTTCTAAATGTTAGCCTTATTTTGATACCAATATTATTTAAGAAGTTTGTTATTACTGAGATACACTCAATTACATTTCAGTTCGTTATTTCAAGCGCATCTTCAAGAAAACCCCTTTGGCCTGAAGAGGCTACAATTCACACCATGTCCGTGAAGGTAGTTTTAGCTCATAGTGTTAGAATTGCAGAGGACTTTTCCTTTTTGGGACACATGAGGGGAAAAACAGAGTTCCTACCCCCTCACTGTGGGAGTCGAACACTAACACTCAGCTGGTGTTGCTGATCTCCCACACTCTCCCACCAAATTAAAAATGTTGTATGACTCATCTGGTGACATGTAAAAGGGATTTTGCACCTTCACAATCTTAATTAGCTGACTTTCTAATGCGTCACATTCATGCTGGCCTTCACCATAAGAAAAGGTCATCTGGGTCTGCTCAGTGTTTTACACAGGAATTTGCATGTGAAAACATTTGCAATGAGTTATCAGCAAATCCGAGCAAAAAGTCATTTTGTCTGCCATTTTTATTCTAAACGCCAAACAAATATATGTTTAAAACGGCTTTCCAGAGGTGTATAAAGTACTTAAAAGAAATAACTATGTAAAATAAAATGATTTTGGTAAAAATTAATTACATTGATAAGAAAAGTAAAAGTCATAAGACTGTTCACAATAGTTAGGAAAGTAAAAGTACTTTTACACATATGCTAAGAAATGAAGTATTGAATTAACCAAACTGGTTCCACTAAACCGAGAWGAGTAAATTACCTTACATTTACTCAACACGGTTTAGTGGAACCAATTGACAAATAACTTGTTTAAGTAAAGTCAACATTTCCTTTTTTTTAGAGTGCGTAGCTCCTTACAGGGTGAGTCTGGTCGTATTTAAATTTGTAACAYGTAACTAGGTGGTAAATGGTAAAGTACAGAAGTAAACGTATACTTTTTATGTTTTAAATGCATCAAAATAAAAGAAAAAGCTATGATTTAAAAAACTACTTGACTTAAGTACTGTAACAAAGTAAATGTACTTGGTTATAYACCTCTGCTTCTTTCTGAGACAGATTTTCTGTTACTCAGATACCACCATGAGTTATGACATAAGTGATGCATCTCATGTATATTTTTTGTKATTCGGTCTAAAACAGCTGTAAATTCATAAAAAAAGAAATGTTTATCACATTGAAATTCCTTCACCTGTTGTCTAAACTAACTTTCTGTTCATAAGAACTTAAGAAGTAATCATGACTCGTGYGCGTGTTTGCTTTGAAACCTTTAGTGCGTCTGATTGCGACCAACACTTGTGTGTGTTTGTGTTGATTGTGGTCAGAGGAGGGGATCTCTGAAGAGGACGGGCCTCT